GGGCGGGTAGGAGAAACAGAAAAACCTGCTTACTCTTCCTAGATCTGACTTTACATAGCTACTGAAGCTGTTAAGATAAATTTTCAGTGCCAGAGATGTTTAATGGCTTATCTGTTCAGTTTAATGATGGTAAGCTGAAGCCTGATAGTCCTGGTGTCACTGATCACATGTTAAGGGTTAACAGTTGCAGTACCTGCTCCTACAAGGATACGAAATATAACATGAATGCAGCACGAATACAATCTAAAATATGAAAATTAAATCCCTGACGGCTGCCAAGATCTGTGTTCTTACAATAAAAACTATACAGGAATAAATGGCAAATGCTTCTCTGATACTGCAAGCGTTTACACCTTTTTTTGTAACACAAACTGTTTTCACTACACATACGGTAGAGAAGCCGAAGAGCAGCCACTATTTCACTGGCAGAAAACCGAGATTAAAGTAAGCTGACTTTAGTGGAATAGATACAGCTACAGCCTATTTCCTTCTGTTGAGTATCTGCAAAGTTTATTACTACTTATCTCTGCTCCACTCCTGCAGTCCTTGTCTTGTCACACTTTGATTTCTATCTCTAAAACATGCTGTAAGAAAAACTCTGTAAGACCCCCGCAACAATGATTACCAGGTAAACAGAAGTGACAAGTGATAGCTCAGCTCGGTTTCAAGGCAAAAATCCACAATTTAGATTTTGTACAGTATCATCACTTCAACTTTGCTCATCCTGCAGTTGTAAAAAGTAGTATGTGAGGGAGTTCTTAGCCACACTTTGAGACACATCATTATTCTCCAGGGAAAATGCCTCCTACGAGCAGACTTCTGAGCTACACTTTGTGTTAGATGATACTTAAATGTCAGTGCCCTCAAAACTATGTTTTGTTTTCAAAATCAAGAGGAACCAATAACTACAGTAAGTAATGCTCTCACAAAATTGTCCATGCCACAAAGTAAATTGCAGAAGTAGATGTTTATCAGTCTTGTATCTTTAAAAAAGTTGATAAAAAAAAAAACCAGTCACTTGATAAATCAAAAATTAAATGTACACACACCCAGAGCCAAACCTACAAAAGGGTTCATTCCTCTCTTGTAAATACTTCAACTGACACAAAGTACACCTTATCATCACTCTTCCAAGCGTTTTTCATTTTACAGAGGTGTTGTTTTGTTGCTGCTGCTCTGCAAGTGCTTGCTGGAGGCGCATTCTTTTCCGTGAATAGTGCTGCCAGTGAAGAATCTGTTGCTCGTCAATAAATTTAGCACACTGAGCATTTACCAGTTCTTTGCGGAAATGCTCATATTGGAGCAGCTCTAACATATGCAAACATTGAGGATACCTGGATTAAAAATAAACATACTTTAATACAAGTTTTTACAAGGTATGCTTATACTGGAGACTCCAATAATTCTGCAGTTCATTATTTTAGTTTTATTATGGGTGTGCTTTACTCAAGTATCAAACCACTTAAGACTGCACCTATTCCACACACTGTAACTTAGTAACTTCAGTATTAGGCTAGGAAACAAGAAGTCTTGTAACAGTTTATAAATGGATATACATGCTTGCTTAGAGTAGCTTTTCTAATGGCTAGATTTTACTAAAACAAATACATAACGACTACAGTATCTGTTTCCAGAGCTCATTTAAAGAACATAACCAAGAACTGTTCTCCCAAAATTTGAAGGATTTTGCACACTCACAAAAATGCAAAGTCATCCTTTGTTTCATGTAAGCATCAACAATGCAAAATCACTCTTAGAATGTACTTACTGGGCCTAACTGAAATAGTTTTGTACCATAATGTTCAATAGTTTTACTTTAAACAAATGGTAAAGTGCAAATACAGGCTGCAAAAGGAAGATTTCACGCACGACTCATGAGAGACAAGTTTTATGATTCTGTCTATTCTTGCTACATCTGGACTGTTGGAAACAGGAAAATCTACGTTGCATAGAAACACAGTGGGGAGGACAAAGGTAAGGTTACAGGCAGAAATCAAATACTGACATGCTGCTGTACAGTACATAACAGAAGGTAAACATCAAATCATTAAACTGCAGAAACCTAAGCAATTTAACACTTACTTCAGGTATTTTGCATATTCAGGTTCTTTCCAATAAAGTAAATATTTAAGATAATTTACAAAAGCTTTGTCTTTGAAGTAGCCTCTTTGTGCAAGAACTGAAATGACAAATAAGGAATTGTCAGTTACAGATGCATGAAAAAATCTGCCGAACTTGAAGAACATGTATTCACAAAACTATACAAAGAGGCACTTTAGTCAAAACTTTATCATTACAATCAAATTTTGATAATTCAAAATGAAAAAAACACAGGGGAAAAATACATTTTATGTCAACATACTAGGCATAATAAACTAGTCTCATCTCCCGTACAATATATCTTTCATACAACAGCAAGGAAGAGAACAGCTTTTTGAAACAGGAAATTTTGACTGTAGCATCAAAATTGGCAGAAAATTCAAGGGAATTCAGTATAGTACCTGAAACTATTATTAATAATTCTGTTTTCAGATAAAGGAATACTGTTAGCTTGACATTACTTTTTAACTGCAGACTTGAACTTCTTACTTTTTTCTCCACCAGACAGATGCATTTTTTTTTATTTCAACCAATAAAACATTTTGCATTTTAAAAACCCCACCTGCTAGAAATCTAGACAAATTAAATTATTTACAGACTACCTTTATGCTGTGAAAAACCCACTCCCTTTTCTTTGTTTAGCCCTCTCTCTCCCTGTCTAACATTACCAGTAATAATAAACACCATTAAACTATATTCATTCATCAGGATCCTGATATTTACTTTTAAGTACTCACAGTTGAGGTAATTTGGATTTGCCAGACATTGAACAAACTCTAACTCCAGCTGGAACCGAAGTCGATTTCCTGTATCATCTGATACACAAGAAAAACAGTAATAATTGGACCCACACAGTAGATTTGAAAGTAATTTTCTCAGTTTAAGTCATACAAATAAAGATAATATGTTTAAACAGGAGAAAAAGCAGTAACTCCCCATAATAAATATGGATTCATTTAGCAAAGCCTTCATTACATGAATCAGTGTTGGGCCTGCATTAATAAACATGCTGGGGTTTTTTCGTTTGTTTTTTTTACAGCCAAGCAAGTGCAAAGAATGGAGGAATGCCCACTGACACTTTGTTTAGAGTGAAGGAAAAGAGACGACCAAGAAGCCTGGAATATTTGTACAGGGAAAATTAAGAAGGTAAGAATAGGGAACTGTGAACAGCCCACCGAAATCCTAGTTGTACATGTTTTTAAAAGTGGTGCAAGGCAGCATTTTTTTTTGCAGAAAGGTATCTTGCTATAGTACGCTAGTGAGAATACTGCAATGTTCTCACAGTACAACGTACACCAATCAGTAGTGGTATACTGTTGGGGTTGATACGGGATCCAGTGCTGTTTGACATCTTTATTAATAACCTAGATGATGTGACAGACTGCATGTGCAGCAAGTTTGTAGATCACATAAAACTGGGAGGAGTGGCTGAAACACAGGAGGGTTGTGCAGCCATTCAGACGGACCTCAACGGGCTGGAGGAATGTGCCAACAAGGAATCTCATGAAGTTCAACGAAGTGAAATTCAAAGTCCTGCACCTGGGGAGGAATAACCCCGTGCAACAGTACAGGCTGGGGACCAACCTTCTGAAAAGCAGCTTTGCAGAAAAGGAGCTGGGGTCCTGGTGGACAAGTTGATATGACCTGCGGTGAGCTGTTGCAGCAAAGAAGTTCAAGAGCATCCTGGGCTGCATTAGGAAAAACACTGCCAGCAGGTCAAGGGAGGTGATCCTTCCCCTCTAGTCAGCACTGGTGGGACCTCATCTGGTGTGCTGCATCCAATTATGGGCTCCCCGGGAAAAGACAGACATGGATATACAGGAGCAAGTCCAGCAAAGGGACACAAAGATAATTAAGGGACTGAAGCTTCTGACATACAAAGAGAGGCTGAGAGAGCTGGGACTGTTCAGCTTTGAGAACAGAAGGCTCAGGGGTGATCTTATCAATGTGTATAAACATGTGATGTGAGGGAATGAAGACAGAATCAAACTCTTCTCAGTGGTGCCCAGAGAAAAGACAAAAGGCAATGGGCACAAACTGAAATACAGGAAGTTCCTTTTAAACATACGTTTGGGGTTTTGTGGGTTGTTTTTTTGTTTTTTTTTTTTTACTGTGATGGTGATTGATTGTAGGAACATATTGCCCAGAGAGGCTGTGGAATCCCCATCCCTGGAGATACTGAAGACCTGACTAGACAAGGTCCTGAGCAATCTGGTCTAGTTGACCCTGCTTTGAGCAGGGGGTTGGACTAGATGATCTCCAAAGGTTCCTTTGAACATGAACTATTCTGAAATTCTGCCAAACAGTCCCATCTTGAAAGGTGAAATGTGGAAGAACAGCCTACTTACTTGAACCCAATACCAAATCAAAGCTGGGTACTGAGAGTTTTCGCCTGTTTAGCAGTGGTCATAAGAAATTCACTTAATTTCTACATTTATGCCCATAACTATGCGAGCTGGGGGCTACCATACCAAAAGAGAGGAATAAACAATCAACTGACTTTCTTACTTTTAGAATCACTCCATCAAAGTATCTTCATTTTAAATTTTTTTCTTTTTCAGTGTCACTGTATTCTAGAAAAATGTCTCTCTTCTCTATTGGTATAAACAATGTTATTTGATCCAGGTTGGTTATTACAGATTTTCCCTCACCTATTTTCACCATATCACCTATATTTGTATTAATTTTGAAAACTATTAAATATTTATTGAGAACAATAAGCTCTAGGGGATCCTGACAGGAAAAAAAAAAATCCACGTAAATGATGATTCTACATTTAAAATTATTTTTTACAAACTACTAAAAAGTCATTTTTTAATCTGTTTAAAATAGCCCACACTGCCTTTAGTTCTTTTAGTTTTTGTAGCATCAATGAAGACTAAATAAAATACTTTAAGTCAGAGTAATTATTTATGTAATACTTATAAAACTTATGACATAAAAATTAGGTGATAGTAATTTGATAAATTCTATTTGCCATTATATTTTAGTGACAAGTCTCTAATTCCTTAGTGACTCCATCTCATACCTCAGAGCATTTCCACACTACAGAGAAATGGCTATGTCCTTAAAAAAATAAGAAACTTGAACACAGCATACAAGAGCAGTACAATGCAAGTTGAGAACATGGGTAACAATAAGGAGAACGCCCAAGTCTTAACCATCATGAACACATAGCAAACCCTTATTGACGGAAGACAGGCTCTCGATTCTCAGAGTTCTGCTGTTACCACTAGAGACCACTCATTCACAGGACTACGAAGCCAACTTTCAGTTCCCAGCTGTGGCCATCAACAGACCTTAACACCAGGATACACATCCTTCTGAAAAGGTTGCATCTGAACACACCTTCCTTTTTCTAAAAAGCTATCCAGGCATAGCAACTAGTCCAGGGCTCGCAGAGAACTGTGAAACCCAATGCCTTCCACAGGAATAAAGATGAAGGACAGACTAGGATTGACTGAAGGCCTTGTGCTCCCAGATTTGCTGCTCTGATTCCTGAATCACGGGCAAACATTAAAAATGAGATCGGGGTGTCACCTGCAGCAATATTTAAGAGTTTTGGGAAAGCAGGATTTAGCTCTACAACCACGGATGCGCCCTCTGATGCCTTCTCGCCACCTCCTCTCCCACGGCCTCTGGGTGGATGAGGGCCGCGGGTACTTCCAGGAGCGCCACGGACGGCGGCAACGTAGCCGGAGCCGGCCTGACCAGGACAGAAACGGGAGGGCCCGCGGGGCAGCAGGAGCTTGCCCCAAGCCCCCTTCTCCGAGGAAGCGGGCTCAGAACCCGCCCAGCATCTGCCGCCCGCCAGGGCCGCGCCACGCCGGCCCCAGCTCCTGTGCGGCAGGACCGCAGGCGGCCTCTCCCCGGGCCGCAAGCGCTCGGCCTGCCCGCCCCTCGCCGTGCTGTCCCACCGGACCCAGCACTCCGAGCGCCCGGGAGGCAGCGGCCACCGCACCCCCCCC